TTTCTGTGCACCTGTGACTATGTCCTGCTTTGGCAGTGTTACTGTCAATGAACTCCTCAAAAGATAGGTACAGACAGAGCAAAAAAGCAGTGTTACAGATGGAAAAATCAGCCCTGTAGCTCCTTTCATCATACTTTGAGGGATACTGTGAAAAATCAGCATTTCATAACATCATCTAACATCAGCCTAAAAAGGAATCCCCGAACAAGTTGGCTGAGAGCAAAATGACAAGGGGCTCTGCAGTTCAGACCTTTCAAACATCTTGGAGAACTATGTGACAGAAAACTGTAACCAATGTCATTGCCACTGAGCTTGTCCACTCTTATGGTTATCACTGCAGTAAAGTGGAACTCCCACTGAGTTCCTGAAGATTTGTCCTCTTCCTGGGATGATGGAGGCTACTTGCTGGAACTACTGAACTCAAAACCAAAAGCATCCTGTGCACTCCAGAAATGGCCAGGAAACAGGTGTGAACTGGGAATATCTGTGATGGTCCAGAGAAAATGGTTCAGTTTGTACCCCCAGTGGAGAACCAGAAAAAAATCATACAAAACACCAGAAATTATTATTCTAATACCATTCACAGTCAATCTTACAGGACATTGTCTTTAGTCAAGTAACATGTCCTGTTTCCTATGTTTCCTTCCCTATTATTGTTTACTGTCTACGTATTATAGAAGTCAATGTCTTGATGCTGTTTGTGCTGATGAATAAATTCCAGGAGGTTCTTCTCTGCTGACCCATGTGTACACAGCAACAATGTTTTGCCACATTTCAGAGACACAGAGTCACTGAGAAAAACTGTTAAGAGTCAAAACTGACTGTGAGGATGGAAGTCAATCCATATTATCCCTCGGATTTCATGTTATCCTAACCTACTTAGCTGTGCCAAGGGTTCCTTTCACAGAAGTAAAGGGAAAGCAGAATAGCACTTACTATCTGGCTGAATTTACAGCTTAGTCACAGAAATCAGAAGCTTTATTCTATTCTAATACTCAGCACAGAAGATTCTATTCTCTACCATATTTTATGGCAGTGGTCTGGTGAAGCTCAGCTCTCTTCTCTTATGGCCATACAGCGGAAAGGAACCCTCTGTCATTTGCACATTCAGCCATGACTTTGAAAGATATACCAAGGAGGCCACTCAAAATGTTCACCACCCAGGGCAGGAAGGAGAAAAATCCTAACTACAAACCACTGCCCTACCCTTTCCTCGGGTTCTGCTTCCAAACCCCATATTCAAATCTAAGACAAGCCAACTCAGAGGGCAGATCAACAAATTCCCTCGTCTGCCCTTCCTGCCTAGGGAGCAGGAAGGGAAGGGGAACACCCTTCTCCTGATAACCTCAGCCCCAGCTTCCCCTCTGGGCTCCAGCTGAGCCCACAGCAGCCAGGCCATCAGCAGGCCTGGTGGCTGCTTGCTTGGAGAACACCTCTAACTGGGCTGTAACAGGACACAGACTCTGCTGACCGTTCACTGGAAAGTCACTGGCTCAGTCCTGAGCATGAAAAGCAACACATAAATACCTCCTAGGATTTTCTGCTTAATCATCCAGCTATGCAGACACGGGATCCTTACAAGCAAACCATTCTGGACAGAGAAGAAAGAGAAGACTTCATAATGTTTTCTAAAAACACAACTAGAGATGTTTCCTCTAGAAAAACGAACAGTCTTGCCTCAAACTGGAAATTAATATAGTAATTTTTATTTTTGAAATGAATCCATGTGGTCAACCTATAGCTTTGAGAGGAAACTTAATCCATAAAAAGCTAGGAAAAATGTGAAATATAATCTAAGACCTTCTTCCAAAGCAAAAGGTAGATCAAAAGAGAGATCCTCAAGGACAGAAAGGGCCTGTGAGGAATCAGTGGTAATCCATGAAGCAGCTCAATTTGCTTCACTATGCACAAACTAAACAAGAAATCCCTGGAAGGGGACTCGAGAATGCTGCTTTGCTGGCCCCAGTGTCACATGGCTACCATGGGCCCTGCTTTGTTGACATTTCATATCAAATAATGCATTTGAGAAGAAAATGAAACTGTACCTGATGAAAAAAGGGAAGCAATGAGAGAACTGCTTAGTGAAAACAAAGGATGAAAAGAGTTCATTTTTCCTCTTACATGGCCATGAAGAAATTCCAGTATCATTGCTAGCTTATTTTACAGACAATGTCAGTATATGACCCCAAACTGACTATGAATGAGCAAACAAAACGTATTCCAAGCAAAAGACCTCAAAACCAACTCAAATTCTTACAGCCAAAGTACAGAAGTGTCTCTGGAATCTGAGCTTTAATTTATGAGTCTATTACCATGCTAAGAATTATTACTCATGCCTCCTGAAAAGAGGACAGACCTGTTACACCCCTAGTGACAGGATTTAGAGTTAGAGCAGATTAGTAATCATTCAAATAGAGACTTGTCATGAACTGCACAGACAGAGGCAGCTCATCCAACACTGACACACCTTAAGAAAAATCTGTTCTGTGATTCACAGATGGCCTCTGATGCAACCTCTGCTGCCCTGCTCCCAGCTCACAGTGAGTGTCTCAGGTGCACTACACAAACAGAAAGTCTCATATCTTGTTCCACTGTTAGTTTTTTGATTCACCAGGGTTTATAATGGTACTTTTGGAACAGCCTCAGGGCCCAAGAACAGGCTCTTACAAATGATGCTCTGTCAGTGACAGGCTTTCTAAGGTTTACCAGAATTTTGTCTTGTTTATCTGAGGAAATCAATTGGAATAGATATTTGGAGAGAGTAGTATCCTACACAGACATTAAAATAACTCAATTTTCTTATCCTAGGACCTGAAAGAAGAGTATCAGTCCAAGGAAGACCCTGGGGAGGCTGAGCAGGCATGAAGAATTGGCAGCACGAGGGCTAATAATTTGTCCCTGTGTAGTTTCATCCAACAGTTTTCACTTAAGATTCTTTTTCCCAGGAAACCTGAATACAGATACCATACCTCCTCTATAAGTGTCAGCAATTCCAGTTGCCTGCATGATTTCTGAAAACCTGCCCATTTATCCTTGTCAAATTCCCCAATACAGAATTGATGTGGTTTGAACCTGACTTTCCTGATAGCATTTAAAATTCTCTTTGATGCAGAGCATGTCTTGCTGATTATACCTGAAAGACATATTGTAATTTCTCTAAGTCAACATAATTGCATTTTTTATTCATCCATTTGTTTATTGGAGTTTTGATCTCTGCATGGAGTAATTGAACTAGTGAAGAGAGGAAACAAAAGAACATGCCTGTGAGGATTTAAAGGCATTGCCTTTCTTCACCTGTTTAACATTTTAATAAACTGTTAACGACTGGTCTTCTACCTGTAAGCTAAATCAAGGCTCTGAAAAGAAATATTTGGGAGATCTGGAACCATTTCAGGTCCATGTCTGTCCATGTCTTGCTTTTCAGATGTGTCACAGATGTTAAGGTGTGACATTCTGGATTCCCCTCTTTCCTCAGTGAGAGCCCTGTGAAGCTGCTGATGGACAAGTCCAGCAGCCAGGTCACCACCCTGAGCCAGGTCACCACCCTGAGCCAGGTCACCACCCAGTGCAGAGCTGTGTCCTCTCAACCAGCCCACCTGCTTTTAGCAGAGTGCCTCAATTCCTGGGCAGGCAACAGTGCTGTTTACCCTGGGGATTTTTCTGCCTCAGTAAGACCTGCCTCCAGCTGGTAACCTTGTGCCAACACTATCCACTCCTCTTTCCTTGGGATGTTTATCCTCTGCCATTGCTTGGAGAAGTAAATCTCACTGCCCACAGGCTGAGGAAAACAGGCCCTAAATCACTACTCCCTGCTGGCAATTTTTGAAGGTGTTGCTCACCATAAAACAATCTGTACCAGTGAGCTGTGCACAGCACCAAATCTCAACAACTGGCAATGGAGAAAAATTAATAGCTCATTATTTTATCATTTTCTTTGAATTTGAGCTATGTCAGAACTCAAAAAAAAAAAGGGGGCTTCCTTCCTTGGAGAATAATCAAGTGACCTGCCTGACAGCAGATCCTGATTCTCCTCATTCCTGTCTTGCTTGGGACAATACATTGGGAAGGATGTTATGGGGCTGAGCTAACACACAGCCAGCAGTGCAGTGGTATCAGGAGCACACACTTCAAGCTGTCATCCAGACCCTCACCTCCCAGGATGAGGGGAAAGTGCCTGGTCAAACTGTCGCTTACTAAGGAGAGTAATATAAAGTGTTCAACAGCAATGAGGATCCAGTCCCCTGTCACAGCTCTGGGAGTTTCCGGTGTGGTTTGGTTTTTAATAAGGGGTAAAGGAAGACCTACAACTGGGCACAGTCTCTCTGAATAGAGAGCAAATATCTGTGACAATGATACAGAGGAAGGTGATGAGTAGGATGGGTTTCTGTTCAGGTGATCAGACCTTTGATTTTTAATTAATCATTTCTTAAGAAAGCTATTTTCTGCTATGACTCCACACACCTTCCATCAAGTAATAAAATCTTTCACTTGCCCTTAGCAAACTGACTTAGAGGTTATAAGGAATTTAAACAGCTCACAAAGAATGCAGTAAATCTCTTCCCCCTTCTCTGTTTGAGGCAACTGTTCTTTAATTGCTTAGCAGAACGATGCTAAAGATCCTTTAAAAAATGCAGGAATTTCAGGCTCAAGCTACAACCTCATGTGTAACTAAGAATGGAAAATTCAGTTCCACTGTCTAGGAATTTTTCCAAAAGTGTAATTTTTACAATGGTAAATAAAACTTTGCTTTGAAATAACAAAAGGACATGACAATTTTAATCAGGAGTCCAGTAAAATGAAGTTACACAGCCTAAGTTTTGGCAACACAGAGATGATGTCGAACATCACTGGGTTAATCTGTTTCTGGGAAATAGATTGTAGGCTCAGAGCAGCAAGATCAGGGGCTGCTCACTCCAGGGACTCTCCCAGGAAATCCCTGACCATGGGATAAATTTCTGCAAACAAATAGGGTCATCAGCAGACTAGATTTTTTAGTGTTTACCTTTGGCAATGGTGGGGCTATCCAGGAAACAAGCAGTCAAAGTGCAGGAGCTGGCTGGAGGCTGGTCGAACCCAGCAGAGGGACTTGGCAGAGGCACGTCCTGTCTGTTGCCAGAAAAGGGCATCCCATTTCACAGGTCTTTGCAGCAACACCCGTGACAGCCCAGTTGTATGAGCACACTCTGAAAAAAACTTGGGGCAGTCAACTTTACCCAGACATTGAAAGAAGAGTTTTGACTGCAAGAAGCTAAACCAAACAACTTTTTTTTTTTTTTTTTTTTTAACCCCCCCCCCCCTCTCTGTCAGGGAGAGCTTTTGCAACAAAGTGACCTTTAGGAGCTGAATTCATCAATGTCTAAGTAATCCTATACTCACCCAGAACAACTTCTGCCCCTCCTTCACTGATAAGAAGCATGTGGGTAAACAAGGCTGATTTAAACTAAATACCAGGTCTTTTAGAAGGGCATCTCACAGCACAGTTTGGACTGCACATTGATAAACAAATAAAGATATAATCACACAAACCTTAGTTACCAGATTAAAACTTCCATATCAAAATAGGATGAAGCTGAAAGGAAAAAACCCCATGCATTTATGTTCCAGGATAAGAGATGCACTGTCTTGCACGACTGTGTTAAAGGGTATGCCTGCTTGATCTGTAGATATAAAATTCCTAAAAATAACACCAGGCATAGGAGGAGTCTTTATAAACTCGTGAGAAAAACATCTGGCTAAGCCCTCCCCTTCCCAGCCCTTCCTCACAATTAGTCTTTCAAACTGAAGCTCACCTTTACACTTGGACCTGTCTATGAGACACTGCCCTGCTTTTCCCTTCCCTGCTTTTCCCTGCCCTGCTGGGATGGGTATGTAGGATAATGCATCCTGCTTGGCAGGTCTGTGGGAGAGGGAGGTTGTTTTCCTCTGGAGACTGGACACACTTATTTCACACACAGCAGCTCCAAGTTGTTTTGGAGAGGGGAGAAAAAACTTCACCTCTTTGTGCAACTGTTTGCCCTCCAGGTAGATACCTGATAGGGGAAAACTGCTCAAACAGTGGATAGAAGGAATAAAGTCCAGGTTTTCTGGCACTGCAGACCAGTTCTTTGGTTCTACCTCTTGTTAAACAGGCACAGGATTTCAGTGCTCTGGCTTGTACTTAAGGGACTACTCAAACAGGAAAGGAAAGTTGAAGCTTGACAGAATTTGATTTCAAGACTCTCCCAAAGGAAACAGTTTATAAAGAACAAGACCCAGTGTAGAAAGATACTTAGTATTGACTCAGGAACAGTTTTTCTCTCCCCTCATCACATTCCAAGGAAATTGAAGGCACCCTGAGCAAGAGGGGGTGATGCAAACTAGAGATCTCAATCAGTCCAAATCATTTGGGGAGAGTTCAGGAACAGAGGCTGTGCAGTGACGCTCTGCTGTGAGCTCTGTGTAATGTTGAATTTTTAACCTGCCAAAGCCCACCACTCACAGAAGCCCCAAAGCAATAAAACAGCTTAAACTACCACAGCAGCAGCAGGCAGAGCTCCAGAACACCATGACACAAGAAGGAAGCAGACAAACCAGCAAAGTACACTGAACACAGGGTAGGGATGGGCCAAAAAAATATAATTAAAAAATGGAACCTTCCAAAGACTTAAAAAGCTACTGCAATAGCACAGATTTTTAGATTTCTAGATCCTCGGGCAAAAAGATCAATGTGGTTTGGGGGGGCACTTGTGAGAGGTCAGCTCACATGCCTGTGTTGTCCAGTTTGCAATCCTGTCCTTCAGAACTGTGCTTGCAAAGCAGAGGACGTGGAGCTGCAGCCCCCATTTCCCCAGCTCTCTGCAGGATGGGGTCTCCAGGCCCAAGAACATCTCTGGCATGGCAAAGTGCCTGAGCACAGAAAGCCTCGGCTGGCTGGGCAGAGGGGCACACAGTAAGCCTCCAGACTCCTGGATACCACAGCTCTAATGGGAGGCTGGCTGGACTCAGCTCTAATGTCACAGGCAGAACACCACCATGACAGCAGCAATGTGTTCTTCTCATGATTCTAAAACTGTAATTTTGAATTTGCTACTACACACGTTCAGAATCACAGTATTGAGAGGTGTTTGCACCACCACTGTTAAGCCAAGTGGAATCATGAGGAAGATCTCCAGCCTGAAATTTGCTCCACCCAATGAAATTACCCCTCACCTCGTCCTTAAAAAAAGCCTGTTCCAAGGCCTGCTGAAATCTGCCAGTTTTTCCTGTGGCTTCAAAGGTTTCTTCAGCATTTCAAAGCCTCCCAGGAAACCCATATTAGAAATTTCTTAGCAGAAACGGAAGCTGAGGGTAAGCTCCAAAAGTCAAATCCAATTTCCAGAAAAAACTCTGCTGGGGAACATTAAGAACTGAAGGAATTGCTTGGGGTCTATTTGCACTAGAACACATGGCAAAGTAGAAAAGAGGTAAAGAAAAAGTAGTGGTGTTCAGCTGAGATTTGGGATTGGTTTAGGTGTACACCAGGTGTACACCTGGTTTTCAGCACTTTTCTATTCCCCCCCCTCAAAAAAGGAAATTAATGTATCAATCACAGGTCAGCACTCTGACAGAAATCACAGTTGAAGTATAGCACTGGTGGTGCTGCCACTGAACAATACATAGCAAAAATGCCATTTCCACACACAAAGGCTGCCAGTGCAAGCTGCTGCTCTGAATTCAAACCAGAGACACTGTTTATTCGGCACGACAGCACTGCTGAGGTTGTGTTCATTCCTTCATATGACTTCATTTTACTTGGAGTATGACATTTGGTGAATCATATGATTTTAATGGTATGAACTCTTTAATGAGGAGATGTTAGATCCACACTGAAACTGCACTCCAAAACCAGCCCTTACTGGATGGAAAGGCCACACATTTCAGTACTATTTACTAAAATGCTCTAAGTTAAGCAATGTGTATTTTCCTCAGTTTAGACTCCTCTCTTCCCACAGGTTTGATACAATAACAAAGGAAGGTAATAAGAGAAAAAAAGATATCTTGAGTTTTTCTCTCCTAGGCTACTTTTTTTCTGTGTTCAGAATGCCACTCATTTTTAACTTACATTACCGACATGTACTAATCAAGGAGACACCTTCCTCGGTAGGAACCTGCCAAATGAATTGAACTATTCCTTTCTTAACTAGATCAACAACTTTTAAGAGAGTGGAGAATTTTGGGGAGCCATAGCCAGCCAGTTATAGCTTGTTATATGTTGCTACGGGGACCATAATTGAAGAGCAACGAGTTTGTTTCTGTGAAAATTTCTGCTGTGGTACAAGTCCTGCACTGCTCACTGCTGAATAATGCTTCTACTCTGGAAGTCTGAGGACAGTGCAGGTCAGTGCCCCTCCAGCACTTGCAGTGAGTGTGCCAAGAAACTGCTGTGGTATAGAAGTCAAAGAACAAGTCAGCACAAGGGAAAAAGTCTTCCACACAGCAATTCCAAGCAGAGACCAGAAGCTGGTGCACTGGGTAAGGATTTGTGACGGACAAGAACAATAGATATCTCATTTTCTCATGATAAACTAGGCAGCAGGATACAGCTCTGCATCTGAGAAATGATCTCACATTTTCCTTTTATTCCTACCTTCTGTGTTTTGCCAGTTCAGTGTCTGCTGTGCTCCTTCCTTAGGGACCTGTGTCTGCTCTACTGTGAGATCCAGCCAGACAGGAGAGCAGCAGCTTTTCCCTCTTGCAGCAGGCTCCTGAAGTAACTTTTCTGAACACTGTGCTGCTCTTTCTTCGTGCTCTTTGCTCTGATAAACTACATAAAAAATAAAGGAAATCATGTATGAGTTACCTTCACAGTAGTTCATCATGTGCCCAGCTTGTAGAATAAGGATCTGCCTACAGGTGGGCCTGGGCTTGGGAAAAACTCCAGCATGCTCTTAGTAAGTCAGCTCTGCCCCAGCAGCCCAGGACAGTGTTAACAGCACTTGCCACTGTGTACAAAAATCCCTGTATAGCATTTTATAACCCTAAGCCTACCCTGATCCTGTCAGGCTGATGCATGTGAGCTGCTGGGCCAAACCCAGCCCTGTCCAGTGGCGGCCATGGCAGCTGTACAGCCTCCATGCAGCCAGCTGGTAGGAATTCCCCCATTTCTTCACGAGGACACCCCAAATGCCAGGGATGGAGAAGGAGGAGACGGGTCTGCCAGCTCGAAGGGCTCCCTCATGAACCGGAAAGTACCTTCTCCTCTTACTGCTGGGCAGCCACGCTGCAGCACTGAGGGGTCACCTACCCTTGGTGAGGGGTGACCCACATGTGGTGAGGGGTGACCCACATGTGGTGAGGGGTGACCCACATGTGGTGAGGGGTAACCTACCCACACTGGGCACCTGCCCATGGTGATGCGGCCCTGAGTCCCCGTGTGGTGGACTCACCTTTTTCTCCTGTGGTTTCTGCTTTGTCCCCCCCAAAAGGGAGGGAAAAGCCCCAAACCCCCTCATGCAGGGCTGCAAAGGGCAGGAGGAAATCACGGCCTAGAGAAGACTGCTTTCCACCTCAAAGAAGGGAGAAAAAGTCTGTGTGGAGAAAAGGCATTAGACTTGTTTTGACTGGAGCTTGAAAAGAGGCCAGAGGAAGGGAACACTGCTGCCAAAGCCCCTTCCTCACTCCGGCAGAAATAACCACCGTCTGCCTGAGGAGCCGGGAGACTGAGGGTGCCCAGAGACTGAGGGTGCCCAGAGACTGAGGGTTCCCTGAGGCTGAGGGTGACCTGAGGCTGAGGGTGCCCAGATATTAAAGGTGCCCAGATATTAAGGGTGCCCCGAGACTGAGGGCTCCCTGCCTGTGGGCAGCCAGTCCTCACTGCCCAGAGCCCACCAGAGCCAACCCTTGGCACACCTCGGGGTGCACGGGCTGCAAGCACCCCACAGGGTGTTCACACACCAGTCTGACAGTGGGGGTACAACAACATCGACAAGAGAGACCCTCGTGCCGACACCCACCAAGGAAAGGGCAGTGAAAGCGCTGTTTTGCTCAGCAACACGTGGGTTGAGTTACACAGCATCAGCCACAGAACCTTTATAATGTGTGTAGATAAAGCAGACTACTGTGCTGTTGGTAAAGATTGGAGCTCAGTGGCACAGAGAGGTTGTGAAATGGTCCCCAAACTCTGATTGCACTCCAGTGTAATCCTCACCACAGTGGTTTGAAACATTATCAGCCTTATCCAAGGGCCCTGCCTCCATGCCAGTGCCAGCATTCCCCACAGCACAGAGACCAGGAGAGGTGTCCTTGCACTCTTCAGCAGCTCCAGGATGTAATTCAGCATGGTTTACCACAAAAAAGAAAGTTGATGGAGCAAAGATACCAACCTGTGAAAACAACAGGCTGGAGCACAGCCTGTTCCTTCCTGACATCTGTCACAAGGGCAGTAAGCTTTGGCAGACGGTCAGAGTGGACGGCAGGACAAACAAAATGATGAGGTTTTAGTGAGGTGTGTCCTCACCTTGCTTTAGTGGGATGAATCAATGCTGGCCTGTCCAAGTCCCCAGTCAAGTAAAATATGCCAAGCATATTTAGGTGAGAGGTAATTATTATTCAGGCACAAATGTGCCAGAACCCTGCTCACCTGAAGTCACCTCTGAGACATCTACCCCCAGGGAAAGAGCAGCTGAGGTAGGATGTTGAATACTAGACACAGAAATCCCATTATTTGTTCTATACAAACTTGAGGCAGTGGCTATCAGCCCATCTTCTTTCTCTGCTCTGGTGTAACTTGATTTTTTCTGTTTCCTGTGAGGTAGGATAAATATCACTTTAAGGGTCCCAACCTTTCAGAGAGTTTTGATCAGGTATGGCAGCTCAAAAAGTTGTACTGAAATCACCTGCTCATATCAGAATGATATGACCCACAAGCTGATATTCACTTAGCTGGCTAGCTCAGGAAGAGCAGCAACAGCTCCTCAGAATTGGTAGAATAGTCACTGAAACAGTATCAGGTATTTATAAAGCCTAATGTTATCACCAACAAAACATAAAGCTTTTCTATATTATATTACGGTTACTAAAAGCAGTATTTGTGCAGAAAATCACTTTATGGTACTGTAGAATTATGTAATACAACCCCCCCTGCAAATGCAGGGTAGGCTAGAGTTTTGAAACGAAAATACAGAGATTTTTTTCATTATTAAGTACAATTTTACAGTCGAGCAGGGATGACAGACCAGGTGCCAGCAGGCAGCACTGGAATGTGTGAGGCACTGCCAAGCACTTCCATGCAGGCTCCAACAAAACCAGTATGTTTCTAGACTCAACTCATGCAAAGTGAAAAACAAGTGCTTTCAGTGTTTCACATCTTTCATCAGAGATCTAATTCCTGTCTCCGGTTTAGGAAATCTTTGTATGTGTGCTGCATGTGACAGAAGCACCACATAAAACAGCCTCTTTCTGGATTTAGATCAGGGCTGAGGTTTTTTGCTGCATTACTGATAAGCAGAACTATGTCTTGTCTTTTTTTCTTTCCCCTTGCCTTGCCCTTGGCTCCTGGCAACTGAGTTAAGGAAATGGAACTGGAATGTTTATGGGTTAAGAGCTCTTTTTAAAGGAAAGCTTTGGCCTCCAGCCCCCTATTTTTTACTAAGATCATTGCACTGGTTACTCCTGCTGGTCTTAGGAAATGAGTCAATCATCTTCTACAGCTTGATTTTAATTAACAAGATAGATAGCTTCTGTCCCCTAGAATATTACTACTGGAGTCTAGGAAATGCTTGGAAGGAAAAATCAAGCTCTGCCTATTTATGTGGCTGAGATTAACCTTCCTCAGCTCTACCAGCAAACCTTCTCTTGCATGAGCTGGAGACTTTGGTTGATGTGAAGGATATAGTTATGTCTTAGAACAGAGACTTGAAGTAAGGAAGGGAGCCTTGTTACTCCATAATTCATGCAGTTAGCCTCTCAGCTTGCTGACAAGAACTTTCTTCTATGATTTATACCTGGACTCTGGGGAATTTATTTTTTCCCACCTTCTTTTTCACACCACAATTGAGCTGATTATATCCAACATTCTTATACTCTGGAGTTTTCAGAGTGCCTGAGTCATACTGGTCTAATATGGGCAGGTAAGAAAGAAGTCTGTCAGTGCCAGCAGCATTTTCCAGAATTCTCCCTGTAAGGCTTCAGACTGAATATTAAAGTCTGGGCTAAAGTCCAGCACACTGAATCCACAGAGGATTCATAAGCTAAATGGAAGAATTAAACATTTCTGCAGTTTCAAGTGTATCCATAGCACTGGGGCTGAGTGTGGCATGTGAAGCTCTTTGAAAGCTTCATATGTATTTTCCAGTATAAATACAGTTGTAGGGTGGTTAATGACTTAGCATTTAAATTGTGTCTGCTGAAAGCTTGGTATACAAGTTAACATGAGAGTCTCTCTTCTCTTTTGGTCTCAAAAAATGGTTTAAATTGGTAAAACCATTTCAAAATATTTTTGAGGTTTATTTTGTGGTGTTTTTTTTGTTTAATAGCCGATGAGAATAGGACTCAAATAGGAAGCTGACACTTGCATACTGATCCATTCCTCTGTAAGAATGTCACAGAAGTGAGCTCTCCACACACACACAAACACAGCAGCTCTCACTTCCAGCCCACTGTGACATGAGCCTGCACAAAAAAATTTACTGCCTGTTTCCAGAGGTTTCACATGCCACTCATGAATGTCTTAATTATTTGGATTTAATTACCACACTTCTAGCTGGGATACACTTGTGGGTGGCTTTTCATCCAAACTGTGCAGCTGTCCTGACTGAAGGAACAGTTGTTCAAAAAAAGGGACTGAACTAATTAAAATAAAACCACACAGTTGACAATGGCACATCTATGGTTATAGTGGCCTGGGAACACGTGCACTGAGATTCAACTCCAAATCCAGCTTTCTGCTCACCTTCCAACTTCCAGCAAGTCCTGGTGGTCTGAGTTTTCCCCATCTCAAGGTTTGGTGCTTCCTTCCCCTTAAGGGTGGGTCATCACTGCTGGAAATTCTAGTTAAACCAAACAGATTCACTAAAGGTACTCAAAAAGCTTTTAAGCTCTTGGCACTAGTTTGTGCAGTCAATAAGGTTGTATTGTGTGGCTCTAAAGCCCTCACAGTCAGACTGGGAGTTAACACATCCTGTGGCCTGAAGAGCTGCCCTCTCTCGGAGACAGTTGATCCCTGTGGAGCCTCTAGGACCCCTGGAATGCTAACACCAGTTTTGACTGTGTTTAGCAGAGTCATTCAGAAGGAAGTTTGAGGCCTTTGTAATGTTCAGTTAATTTTTGTCTCCAGTACTTCTGAAGTCCTGACCTAATTTTTCTCTTAAAATTAAGGGCCTGGTTGAAGCAAAAGCAGTAGGTGAAACAGGAAATGGAGTGGGAAAGTAAAGAGAAAGCCAGGAAAGAGTGGAATCCCACTGGGCAGATGAAGACTGAAGAAATATTGGATAGACATTGAAACATAGATATACTCTGTAGCCATAAGAATGAAGTTCTAGGCCAGCAGTGAGCATGTACAGGACTCAAGTGGAGAATGGATCTATTCTGAAAATCAGAAGCATGTTAGGTTAGGATTGAAGGTAAGCTCTTCAGGCCTGTCATGGAGTCTGAGAAAAGACCAGACAAAAGAGGGGATGGTGTGAGAGACAACCAGCACAACAAGAGATGCCAACTGGGCCAATTAAGAGGTATGGAGGATAAAGCTGCAGCAATAGAAAGCAAGCAGAGGGGACTGGATACTGCACCTGAGAGGGAGACCATCTCTCAGAATGTAGAACAACCACAGTTGTTGCTACTGAAGGAATAAAAGCACCATTCTGAGAAAGAGTATAGAAGTTCAGCAAAAGCTCAGTGAAAAAAAAAGAATAAAAGGTTTTATAAGTCAGATTGGATTTTGTAGAAGAGTAACTATACATAGAAATGGAATGCAAGTTCTGTGCTGCAGAAAAGGAGACCTGCAAGAAAACTGTGCATGTTTTCCCAGATGCAAATGCCTTGCATAGTCAATAATCACACAGGGTGATCTTCAAGCATTTAGCCAAAAGGTCATGTAAGGCAAATGATCACTTGACTGGAACTTGTAGTGGAGAGGAGGGGTCCAACACTTGCATCAGAAGCTGACTCTCCCTCATCTGCATTTGAAATAAGCTCATTCTTTCCTAAGGTAGAAAGAGAAATCCAAGTCTTTCAGACTGTTTGCTTGAGGCAGAGCTTTGCCCTTGTTTTTATTTCACTTCCCTTCTGATGAGAGGTAGCTCCAGTTAAAATGCCTTAATGACAGGGTGAAAGTCTTGGTTCTGATCTCGGGAGCCATTCTGTGCCAGGATGACTTATGCTGGAGACTTTAGAATTAGGCCCAGGCTGCCCATGACTCCACACTTCTCCAGGATCCTGAAGATGCACGTTTTTATAATTGACACAGGCATGTGAAGGAGTCGGAGCATTTCTGGAGATCACTCAAAACAATTGCTCTGGTGGAAGAACAGTTTACAAACAGCCACAGTTCATCGCACGGGTGGGTTCTCCCCTCTGTGAATGCTAAAAGGGTGCCTGCCCATATTAAAGCTGCTGCTGGCTGCATACATAATTCAGTGTTTACTTTAACACAAGTGAAACAGCTGCCACAAATGGCAACACACATGATCATCAAAGCCAGAGAACGGCAAACACACACAGAAGGGAGAGAATCCTCTCATGGAATTCAGCCTTAAGGACACGGCCAAGAGTCTCACAGCCTGTAGGATACCAGAGTGAGCCATAGGTCTTGGCAGGCAGCTTCTGAAGAGAGGCAAAAGCATCAGAGTGAGCTCA